ATTGCTGGAAAGACGGTCTTTCATAAACTGTCTCTGCAGGAGAAAGACGTAAATATTTTTGACACTGGTGCAACAGAACAAGAGAGAAGTAGAGCTGCCCCCTGACAGTCCACCAAACGTTAGTCGACCAGAAAGGTTATTAGTCGTTATTAGTCACAGAAAAAACACAACATGAAACTCTGTGAGAAGCTGCACCTTGTCAAAATAAATCAAACCTATATGACTGGGAATTTATTCTGTAAGGACAGACACAGGAAGTGGAGTCCGGTTACAAACCAATCACAGCTAACGGATATCTTTCCCTTCTTCTGTAAATATTCAGTCTGATAAACACGGAGAAGTTGATCATGTTAGTGCAGGGCTACCCAGAGCTTTACATCTGTCCCACAGACGACAGGCCGACACACTTATAAACAGCTCCTGGAGGAAGGTCAGCTCGCTCTCAGGATTTCAGGTAAACAGGCTGTATGATGCTTGTTAAGGTTGCTTGGCAACTTCAGACTCAACCTGCCGCCGCGTTCTTGAAAGCTGGCACAGAAAAACTTCATAAACCTCCTTCTGTAGCCTCTCTCCTGGAGACAAACTTGTGTCTCAAAGTCCTGGAGACAAACTTGTGTCTCAAACTCCTGAAGACAAACTTGTGTCTCAAAGTCCTGAAGACAAACTTGTGTCTTAAAGTCCTGGAGACAAACTTGTGTCTTAAAGTCCTGGAGACAAACTTGTGTCTCAAAGTCCTGGAGACAAACTTGTGTCTCAAACTCCTGAAGACAAACTTGTGTCTCAAAGTCCTGAAGACAAACTTGTGTCTTAAAGTCCTGGAGACAAACTTGTGTCTTAAAGTCCTGGAGACAAACTTGTGTCTCAAAGTCCTGGAGACAAACTTGTGTCTCAAACTCCTGAAGACAAACTTGTGTCTCAAAGTCCTGAAGACAAACTTGTGTCTTAAACTCCTGAAGACAAACTTGTGTCTTAAAGTCCTGGAGACAAACTTGTGTCTCAAAGTCCTGGAGACAAACTTGTGTCTCAAAGTCCTGGAGACAAACTTGTGTCTCAAAGTCCTGAAGACAAACTTGTGTCTCAAAGTCCTGAAGACAAACTTGTGTCTCAAAGTCCTGAAGACAAACTTGTGTCTCAAAGTCCTGAAGACAAACTTGTGTCTCAAAGTCCTGAAGACAAACTTGTGTCTTAAAGTCCTGAAGACAAACTTGTGTCTTAAAGTCCTGGAGACAAACTTGTGTCTCAAAGTCCTGAAGACAAACTTGTGTCTCAAAGTCCTGAAGACAAACTTGTGTCTTAAAGTCCTGAAGACAAACTTGTGTCTTAAAGTCCTGAAGACAAACTTGTGTCTCAAACTCCTGAAGACAAACTTGTGTCTCAAACTCCTGAAGACAAACTTGTGTCTTAAAGTCCTGAAGACAAACTTGTGTCTCAAAGTCCTGGAGACAAACTTGTGTCTCAAAGTCCTGAAGACAAACTTGTGTCTCAAAGTCCTGGAGACAAACTTGTGGTGGTGTGACCAAATCCGAGTATGATGCTGAATGTATTAAACTATTTGGACCTTGAACTGATGACTGAGGACAGATCTGGACACGGTGGGAGCGGCTGGCGTCGATGGCGATGTTTGCTGAGTTTGTCTAAATGTATTTTGTGTAAGTCCCGTCCTCTGTGTCTCAGACAGAGCGTCGGGATGACGGCAGAGAAAACGCTGCTCCATTTGACTGATTCATTTAGTTGAACCAAACTCTGTCCTCCACATCAGTCTCTCCTGTCGACGAACACAGTTTGTTGTCTACCACAGATTTTCTAATAATATTGTTGAAGATGATCTATTGAAGCATGACAGAGCAGAAAAGTGGTTTATACAACTTTCCCCCTCCTCCTCCCCTTATCAATAATAAATCCTTTCTCCGGCCAGTTTATCTCTGTGGTGGAGTCTAAAGGGGAGAGCGAAGGATCGGGTTTCCACTGCGGAGGAGGAAATGGCTTTCTCCTGACCAGCTTCACCCTCAAGGGCAACAGCATCATCACAGTCTGTCCAAACTGCCAACAACATCTGACTTTGACAAAACTTCCTCTCACTTCACCTGTGAGCTGTGTTCAAACCAGCGTTTCAGAGGGACTCATACCAAAGGTCAAGACACTGTGACAGGTGTGGTAACTACATGGTGTTAGTTACTGTGGAGACACACAGATCATGAAGCACATCATTCAGTGAGACTTCTCTCTGATGTCCGTCCACAGTCAACGTCCATGAAGCCTCTGAGAAATAAGACTCATCATGTTTTTCAGTTTTCCTCAGTGTCACAGTGATCAGTGATCGATGTCTGTCCATCCAGACAAGAGCTGCGCACACTTCACTCAGCTCACTGAGAACAGACACGTGTATTTTATGATTCGGATCTCATTATATATTTTGCCTCCTCTGCTCTTGTAGAGGACAGCGGTGAGACACGGTGCGTTCACACCTGACCTGTGCGGTTCAGTTCAAACAAACTCAGGTCCGTTTGTTAGTGCGGTTTATTTGGGCTGGTGTGAAAGCTGTCAGTCAAACCCTGGTGCGGACCAAACAACCGAACCGAGACCTCTCCAAGGTGGGTCTGACTCCGCCTCCAAACGGACTCTGGTGCGGATCGTTTGTGGCGTGAAAGAAAAGGAACCAATCACAGGATGTTATGATGCAGATAAACCAACAATAAATCCGTCTGCTGATCCTGAAATCTGTCCGCCATCTCATCACCGATCCTGATAAAGGCCACATATACCCCTTAACCTATTTATGCTAATGCATACATGTAACCATGGTAACACAGATGCAGGTCAGCTGATTAAGGAGTTGTTCAAACTGCCATCATTGTATTGACTGTGTGTGACAGTGTTCCCACAGTGTGAAGCCCTGAATCATTACTGTACAGACGTCTTGTCTTCATCCTGTCTGTGTGTCAGTCATTATTCACCACATGTGTCTGACCTGCAGTCTGATGACAGCCTCCTCATAATGCTTAGTCACTTCTTTCTCTGTGAGCTCTGTGTGAAACCAACAAACATTTCAGAAGCATTCAAGTGCTGCTGCACAAACCTTTGTTTGATTTCTGATTGCTTCAGACAAAGGACTCGTCTCTGTACTTGTTTTATTAGATCTTAGTGCGGCGTTTGACACAATTGACCATCAAATTCTACTGCAGAGACTGGATCACTTAAT